CAGAAGAAAAGTAACTATGCATATACGAAGGGGAAAGGAATAAATACCTCAGAAAAGAGAAACTTGGAGAAATCCTATAGAGAGAAAGCTAGCAATAAACATAATGAATAAGAAACAGCAGAAAATAAACGAGGTGCTAGTCTCCCCATATTTATATAGGGAAATCACCATCCTAAAGCCAAACCCCTGAGGGACACGTGGCAGTAACAAAGGGAGTACCCTGGAGGTCACAAAGACGTACCGAACTGCCTCATTATGCTAGAGGTCAAAAAGAGAATACCAGATCCTATGAACTCGAAAGTTGGTAAAAGGAAGGATAAATTGAGGATTATCAGATTCTGTTCAGATCTCAAATGGTCAAGTATCCTAAACGGGATTTTAGTTGTTGTAAAAAATTGCCAAGTAAGAAAATGACTGGACCCGCCGAGCTACCGAACGGGAATTTCCTCTGTGTAAACCAACAAATAACAGAATGTTCCGAACAGGGTAACAAAGTATGAGTAAGCGGGATCAACTTAAGTCCAAGCCCGAACGGGGTAACTAAATACAAGAACAGGTGAAACTCACAGCCAATCTCGAACAGGTTATCGCCAGATAGGGAATAATAGTGCATAGATCCCGTTCGAGATTGGTGAGATTTGGGGACAGTAAAAAATTGATAAATCCAAAAGAGATACATTGAAAATCTTGAACGGTCAAGTATAAATTGAATCGAGCAAGTAAAGAAGGGACAGATAGACAAAAATTATTTTACTCCTCGATACTACTGACTGGAATATACAATACAGATCAAAGGAGAAGAGGAGATGGATGGATACACGAAAATATCAGAATAAATTGTTGGCCGGTATATCTACTCTTCGGCCTCATCATCCTTTTCTTCATCAGCCTCATCATCAGTTGGGAGTGCGGGATCCCTACCTGTGGCCTGATCGGCTATCCGCTTTTGATTGCGCAGGAACTTCTGGAATTGGTTCAAAAGGACCGGGTCCTTTGAAAAATCATTGGGTTCAACGGGCCGACCAATGAATTGCTCCAGGATCTGTACCACCCCCTCCAGGATCCACTGACAGCCCTCAATATAGGTAGTCTTGGCCAAAGCCTCGACCCACTCTTTGCCAACCACAGTCTCATCGGCCATATTCACCCCTACCTCAAAACGAGATGAGCCTGCAGGAAGCTGTTCTAGGCGCTCCCCGAACAGGATGCTTGCCCGAGCCAGTCCATGCCCTTCAACAGCTTTCGTGAAATCCTTAGAAGATCAGAATTCATCTCGTATTGATGCCCGAACGGCAGATAAATCAACGGAAATTTCCCGGGGACCGTCCAGGATCTGAGGGTCATTTTCTTGAAAAACGACCCGAACAGCCTCAACAGCATGGACCTTAGACCTAGTAGTGGCTAGCTCCACCCGAAGTTGGCCGCACTCTGCCTCAAGCTTTTTCCGCTCCTGATCGGCAGCTCGGAGCACTTCAGCAGTAGCCTGTTCCGCAGAAGTCCTAGCCCTGATAAGCTCCTCCTCTCTTTCCAGACGGGCAAGCTAGAGTTGAACAATATAATAGCCAGCCTACAGACAAAACAATTATTTACTCAAACGGCATGAAAAGATGCACGGGGAACGAACAGAAGAAAGTTACCTTAAGAGTGGCCAGAGCAACCCCCGTCTCGGCCTGTTCGACCGACAGTTGCGGGAGACGATAGTCGTTCAACATGTCAGAAGTGCTCCAAATCCGAGCAGGGTGGCATCCACCTTGTTCTATTATCGCATGGATCGGATCATCCAGCGAGATTGGCTCAACTTGTTTGGAGGTAGAGGCATGTCCAGCCCCAACATCAACAGCCCCGAACGAACCAGTGACATCATTGAAAAGGGGATTGCATTGCATATCCCCGAATGGCATCAAAGTTCACCTCTTCAAGGGGCACATGTCGAAGTGGACGAGGTTGCCGAACCTCGGTTGCAACGGTTGGCTTAGTGCCTTCGGGAACCAAGATCTTGGCCTTCTTCTGGACATGTTTCTTCTTTTTTTGCGGCACCCATCGTCTCAAGGCGTTTCTTATTCATTGTTGTTTCGTTGTTGGGAGCTGTAGACAAAAGAAAAGGAGAATGTTAGTACCGAGCGGTCTTAGCGTGTGTGAAACAAGCATGATATGTAAGTTTCTCGCACAAGAAGGACCGTCCGGCCCATGGCACTTGGTTTTCAGTCAAGAAGACCAGGAATACGGGCGGTACCTATCCAAGCTTCCATGAGCTGATCGGGGGTTAAATATTTCATAATATCCAGCGTCCGGGCCCTTTCCATTGCGATAATCTTCTCTTCTAACTCAGCCGACATGAAGGGCTCGGAGGATTTGGGGGGATAAGCATTCCATCTCTTTGGGATAAGACCGTCCGGGACGGAGACAAAGAAAAAATGGTCTTTCCACCCTTTAATAGAGGTAAGGTTCCCCTTGAAAAGGATCCTTTTTGTTCGAGCACTCACTGCCAGGAACCCATCAGTTTGTTGAGGGGCAATTTTGAAAAAGTGATGGAAAAGGTCCAAGGTGGGCTCCACATCCACATCCTTGCAGCAACAGATAAACCCAACAATGACTCGATAGGAATTCGGCATTATTTGAGCCGGAACTACTTGGTAGTGATTTAGAAGGGTCACGAAGAAGGGGTGCATTGGGAATCTTAACCCGGCCTTAACAGAATCGAGATGCACCACCACCATTCTAGGGTGGTGGCGCAAGGGATGAAGACCTGCGTGAAGGCGAAAATCAACCGGGTCAGGGATCAGGGCAGGGACCTGCGCTATGAGTTTGGGCGAGAGTTTTTGCCTTCGTTTTTTAATGGACCTCAAGTCTAGAAAATGACGAGGGCTGTCGTCCGGAGGGCCTCTCTTCATCACTGCTATATCATCGCCAGAGGCCGCACTATCAGAGTTATCATCTGAAGACCCAATAAAAGATTTGCTGGAACGATCGTCTTCAGAACCATTAGTAGAGGGGGCATCTCTGGCAACATTCTCTACGGCGGTGTCAGTGCCCGCGGTATCGACCAAAGTGGCATTCATCTCCGAATCCCGACCCGGTTCAACAATTGAAGGCTCGGAAGATCCAGAGCTCGTCGACATTTATACCGAACCAAAAAACAGAAATAAAAAGAAGATAGAGGACCGGCGATTACCTGAGCGAAGAACAAAGTTAGGGATTTGGGGAGAAGACAGATTGCTAGAACGAAGATAAAAAATTCGGAAACCCGGGGGTAAAGTCCCAAAAACCACCTTTATACTAAGAGGCGCTGATTCAAGGACCAATCCCGGGGGGCACGTAGCGAGGAACATTTCAAAGGACACACGCCGAGCAGAGATGAAACGACGGGTAATCATGACGATATTATGGGGAACATAAGCAACAGCCGTCGAAAAAGCTTGAACCATCACATCAGGAACATGCAGACACCAGGAATGATTGTTGTACTTCCTTATGTCCCAAGCACGCTTGGAACATAAGGGAGTGGGGGACTTGCGATAGGATATTGAGGTCCGGCCCAATATGGCGGCCCAGAATATCCTTAGAAGTCCAGGAACCAAGGAAAGCCTAAAGGTCATAGATCCCGAACGGGAGTTCAGCTACATTCTTGAGGTCCAAAATACAAAGGATAGTCAGGAAGAGATCGTTGGGACCAAATGGTTTGCTTAAAGGCAAGACCCGTTCGGCACCACCCGAACGGGATGTGACCGACTGCAGTTAATGCTGGATCATGGGGGACTCAAGTGGCATGAAAAGCAACCAATCGTATAAGGGCGCTCCATGTCTCCATTTAGTATAAATAGAAGTTGTTAAATCATTGTAAAGCTTTGGATTTCATTAACTCACAAACATATATTGTATCATAGCTCTCGTATTAGCCTTTGAATCATAATTACCGCTCGATCAATCCTGTGTGTAATTGTTATTACTGTTTTAATACAAGCTGAGTTATTTAGATAGTTAAATCGGATTTTATATTTCCTTTTATACACATTACTATAACAATTTAACCCAAGATCCAAGGTCAGTGTTGGGCCTTCGGGTCATTCGAGACTAAACCACAACAATATTGTTGGAAAGTTTGACTTCAAAAGTAATAAAATATAGAACACATAAACAATTCAAAAATGTAGTAATCGAAATGAGATGGAGTGGTATAAAAATCATACTTATGCCCGTGCATCGCACAACAAAAGAAATCAAATTACTATTCACTTTTTGGAACACAATACTTATGTATTTTTGGGAAATTTCGATTTCAAAAATAATAAATTATTGAACACGTGAACACTTCAAAAAATTAATAATATGAATAAGATCTAGTTGTATAAAAATCATATTATTTGTAACAGTAGAAAGAACAAAATAAATGTTAAAATGAATGTTATGCAAAAGTGATATCGTCTATTGAAAAGTGAGGTGTGTTGTATGTGACACTCATGATGCTTTTATTTGAAGTTAAAGTTTTACATTTTGATTAGGACTTTATTGGTCATTAAAGTTTGATTTGGTCTAAGTTAATCTGCTTAATTTTTGTTTGAATTGCATTGATCTAGCAAATTATGATATGTATTATACGTATCTTACTGCATTCTCTATTCCAAAAAGACATTTTTTAATTTCCTTTTTTGGATATTACAAAAAGAGACTTTCAATTTTTTAAAAAAAATATATAAGAAAGTGTTAACGCTATATTTACTTTTTGCTTGATGTAATATAAAGTAAGAGCACTTGAAAGTTAAAATAAAATTATATCTTGGATAAATTTGAATTGAATGTTACAAAATGACTACATCAACTAAAAACTAAATTGACCATTCACACATATTCTTTATCGTTTCAGTGTGTGCCTTTCTAGTTTACTCTTACAAGCAAAATTTAAACATCATTAAAGTTTGTGGAAGAAACAATGGAGGCTAACAACACACTGATTTCAATGGGAAAGCGCTTTAAAAGGTATCAAAATTATTGTAGGCATAGGAGTCCTAATATGTTATAAAGAATTTAGTCAATTTACCTTTTCGGGAAGAAGAGGCTTTCACCATTTAAACATCAGCTAACGTTGAATTTCCCCAGAAAACCTGTAACCGCAGGAAAACGGATATGCATAAGCAACAACGAAGCAGAAGGTAGGATGCATAAAAAGAAAAGATGGAGGGAGCTCGAGCTGAATAGCAAATCAAAAACCTTCTCACTAGTTCCTCTGTTCCTGACTTGAATTCAATTCCGTCATAATTCAGAGGTAGTCTTACAATTTGTTCAATGCATACGTTTATTTAGATTTCTGGTGGTTAGCTTGCATTGACTTGTAGGTCCAAGTTGTTTCTTTGAGTTTTCTTCATCTTTTCTTTTAATTTCAGTTAAAGTATGAAAATTGGGCTATTTTTTCTTATAATTGAGAAATTCGGTGCTGGATGCTTGTATCTGATTTAGCTCAGTGATCATTCTGCTTTTGTCAAGTTGATCTATATGATTTAGCTCAGTGATAATTGAGTTATTAATAATTGAACTGGAAAATTGAGAAAGATGGGTGAAGAGGTTATGAGATAAACCAATTGAGGCTAAGGTTAGATTTGCGACATATTGAAACTGGATTTGAAGAAAAGAAACAACAGTTGCAGTCCTACCAAAACTAATACAATCAATGAACTGCTCTAAAAGGAAATTTTGGTTCTGATAGAAATGGAATTGAAGTAATCAGGTTGATAGTCTCAATTGATCCCTACGAGATATCCCCTTCACTGCTCTAGAATGAGCTTAGAATGCATGGGGAATTGAGCTTGAAAGTAGGCAGTGGCCCCGATAGTTGTATTGCTTAAGGGGGAGCTGTTTCGTTTAATCATGATTCTTTGGGGACTTAATGTTGAACTCCTTCATGGAGAAAGTTAGTTTGGGCCATTCAAATTCTCAATAAAGATGGGATGTGGTCATTTGAACTCCTAAGTGTTGAATTTGGACCTTGGAGTCACTACGGTTGTAAGGGATGCTTGGGCTGTTTGCTAATGAATCTACCAATTCGGCGAGATTGTGAACTAGGTGTGGAAGTTTATAGACTGACTTATTAAGATTTGAGGTTCCATTTTAAAAGACTAATCTAGTAGGAGGAGTACATAAGACCATGCATACGAGTTTTTATCTTTATATTTAAATGCCGTGAGATCGGTTAACATGCCCTTGTCATATGTGTAAGTTTCTATCTTTATATTTGATCGGTATACTTCATAAGGGTTTGTAAAGGCTGCAATTTTGCACTGGTATTTTGACAGCTTGAAACATAACATGAACCTCCTTGAGCTCACCCATGTTGCTGCTAAGAAACAGAATGAAATTGTAATGTACCTGGGAAGGGTATTGCATCAGCGGGCGGTGGATGGTGTGATTGATTAATGAACATGAAAGTTAGAAATGCTAAGAAATAATAGTTTGTTTAGAATGGGTTGGGAAAGTTTCATTCACCTATTTCTTTTATAAGGACTGAAGTTCCCCTTATTTAGAATGGGTTGCAATGATTACCACAGTACCACACCTTTAAAAGGAAAGAAATAACAGATGCAAATCTACCAAAACTAATACGGAGTACGTTTAATTATCTCAAGGATATCCACTAATCATTGTGTGTTTGCCCCTTTATTCTCATGGAGTCAGCACTAACATGTGCCTCAAACTCCAAAACAAGTAAACACACTGAGTCACTGAGAAAAGTCGTCTTTTGACTAGTCAGTACTACCACTAACAAATATCTAGAAATGCAAAACTGAATATAAACTATTAAACACACACAAAGCATTTATTAAAATGGAGAAAACCTTATAAATGAACCAGAAATTGATTTTGCTAATTGCAAAAGAAGTTGCATTGGCAAAGTAGAAGGAACATGATAACAAAATGCCAATTAGAACAAGTAATTTGGGAGGAATTGAAAGAGAACCGGTGGATGCTAGGGTTACATACTTACATTGAGAGTGTGTGTCATGCACTATTGCTACAAGATGGATATAATGCAATGAAATAACCAAATAAAAGGGAGCTTCTATGATATCCTAGAAAGTTCAAGTTGTTGCGGTACATTCTCCTCGTCTCACGTTTCCGTCACATAATCAAGAAAAAATGGACCACACTATGCATTTTTCTCCTCATGTTTCACCTCAACCAATTAAAAGATGTAGCAAAACCCCTTGAATTTTCTAAAGTGCCATATGAATTTCCAAAATAAAAAGAGCAATCAAGCCCTTGACCAAAAGTGAATTATTACGAATAAATACAATATCTCTGTCACAAAACAGTGTCATGTTTGCTATACTAAAATAAGCATGGTAAATAAACTCTCTTTTTGAGACAGAAAGAGTATTTTCTAAACAATTTGTTTGAGTATTTTGAAGTTTCTGGCCACAAAAATGAGATTGGTTAAACGAAGCTGATGTAGTCTCCTAAACTGGAAATACTTTCATTCTGAAAGGCGAAAATGGTTGTGCTTTTCATAGACTGGCTTTCCACACAACTTCATGCTTGAATAATGTGCCAGAAATGGTATATAATTAATTCTTTTCAATATATGAACTGGTTCAGTTATTTGATGCACTAATGGTACTGCTGAATTGGTTTAATTATGGAGGCATTTTACAATCATAAATCTTTATTAAATGCTATTTAAAAATTTCAGACGTCATTGAGATTAAAAGTTGATGGGAAGTTCTGTGAAGCATGGTTCTGCCAAAATTAGTGATGTCAGAGACTATGAAATGAACAAGTATTTAAAGAACATGTACAGAGAACTGAAGAGTGGTAAACACCAGGTTAAATCAACCGATCAGTTTTACATGTGTCCATACTGCCCTGATAAAAGAACGGACTTCGAGTTTATAGATCTTTTGCAGCATGCAAGCGGGGTTGGAAATGGCGGTTCACAAAAAAGGACTGCAAGACAAAAGGCAGATCACCTTGCCCTGGCTAAGTATTTAGAAAGTGAAATAGCTCCTAGAGCTGGTCCTTCTGCAAAAAGCAGTGAGGCTAATGAAATTGGGAAGAAAGATTTGTTGTTGAATGAGATCAAGTCTGACTTTTGTGCATGGGCACTTTCCCCGGACGATTATGGTTCTAATAGCATAGTTCAAGAAGATCTTAGTACCATGTCAAATATTATGGAAAGGGCTCGAGATACCAACATCTGCCCATACTGCCCTGAGACAAGAAATCGTCACTTTCAGTACAAAGATCTCGTGCAGCATGCAAATTCAATTGGCAATTGTAACTCACTGAAACGGACTGCAATAGATAAGGCAATTCACCTTGCACTGGCAAAGTACTTGGAAGGTCAAATAGCTGCTGGATCTGGTCCTTCAGTGAATCACTATGCGGCTAATGCTAATGGAAAAAAGAAGTGGCCAGCGAAGAATGAGAAAAAGCCTTATCTTTGTGCACAGGTAGTTCACACAGATTACAGTAATTACAATAAAGTTGTTGAAAAAGATCTCCTTACCATGTCTAACATCATGGAGAAAGCTCGAATGACCAACATTTGTCCATACTGCCCTCAGATAGGCGGTGGAGGCTTTCAGCTTCGAGATCTTTTGCAGCACGCGATTTCAATTGGCAGTTGCGAATCTCAGGAAATGAGTACAATGGAAAAGGCAATTCACATTGCACTGGCTAAGTACTTGGAGGATCACATAACTGTTGGAGCTGGTCCTTCAAAGCCTTCTTTAGATGTAGATGTAAACCATAACTATAATGAAATGTTTGTCTGGCCATGCATAGGAATCATCGTTAATATTCCTACTAGCTATATTGATGGTCGGTATGTGGGGGAGAGTGGTAGTGACTTGAGAGATGAGTTGGAAAGAAGAGGATTTGGCCCAACTAGGGTGCGACCTTTGTGGGATTCCCAGGGCCATTCTGGAACTGCAATTGTTGAGTTTCATAAGGATTGGTCTGGATTTATCAATGCCATGTCTTTTGAGAAAGATTTTGAGGCTAATGATCATGGGAAAAAGAATTGGCTGTCAAAGAATGACATGAATTCTGATCTTTATGCATGGGTAGCTCGTGCAGATGATTATAATTCTAATAACATTGTAGGGGAAGATATCCGCATGTTTGGAGATCTTAGATCCATTTCAGATATTAAGGAAGAAGAATCTAATAAGACCAAGACGATGGGAGACATCCAGCATCAACGTGTTTTGCCTCACACAGAAGGGAATGGCAGTTGCAGTTCACAGAAGACTTCAGGAGACCCGACAAACCGCCTAGTGATGGCTAAGTATGAAGAACTGAAGAATGGTAAATACCAGGTTAAAATATCTTATCACGTTTACAGATGCCCCTTCTGCCCTGCTAAAAAGGGCGACTTCCATCATAAAGATCTTTTGCAGCACGCAAGTGCGATTGGTAGTTTAGAGAAAAGGACTGTAACAGACAAAACAAATCACATTGCACTGGCTCTGTACTTAGAAAGTGACATAGCTTCTGATGCTTCTTCAACGATGGTTTCTGTGGAGGTAGATACCCTTGCAGACCATGACTGTGATGAAAAATTTGCCTGGCCATGGGTTGGCATCATTGTCAATATTCCTGTTAGCTTTAAGGATGGCCATTATGTGGGGGAGCGTGGCAGTGAAATGAGGGATCAGTTGGCAAGTAGAGGATATGATCCAATTAGAGTACGGCCTTTATGGAACTACCAGGGCCATTCTGGGATCGCCATTGTTGATTTTCATAAGGACTTGTCTGGATTTATCAATGCCATGTCTTTCGAGAAAGACTATCAGGCTAATGGTCACGGAAAGCAGAATTGGTTGTCAAAGACTGAGAAGGGCTATGATCCGTATGCATGGATAGCCCGCACAATTGATTATCATTCCAATAACATTGTTGGAGAAGATCTTCGCAATTTTAAGGAGCTTAGAACTCTTTCAAGTGTTATGGAAGAGGAAGCTCGAATGACTAATGTGTGTCCATTCTGTCCTGAGACAAGAAAACGAGACTTCCAGTACAAAGATCTTTTGCAGCATGCAGCAGCGATTGGAAATTGTAATTCATTGAAAAGGACTGCTAGAGACAAGACAAATCACCTTCAACTAGCTAAATACTTGGAAAGTCATGCAGCTGCTATAATTTGTCCTTCAGAGCCTACTGTGCGAGTTAATTCTCCTGTGGATAATGACCCTACTGAAATGTTTGTGTGGCCATGGACTGGCATCCTAGTCAATGTTCGTACTAGCTTCAAGGATGGTCATCTTATAGGGGACAGTGGTACTAAATTGAGGGATCAGTTGGCACATAGAGGATTTAATCCAACTAGAGTGCGAGCTTTATGGAATGACCAAGATCATTCTAGTACTGCAATTGTTGAATTTCATAGGGATTGGTCTGGATTTACCAATGCCATGTCTTTTGATATATATTATGAGGCTAATAATCATGGAAAGAGAAACTGGCTGACAAAGAATGAAATGGACTCTGAACTTTATGCATGGATAGCTCGTGCAGATGATTACTATTCTAATCATATTGTTGGTGAAAATTTACGCAAGATTGGAGATCTTAGAACTATATCAGATATTATGGAAGATGAAGCTCGAAAAACTACAAAGCTGGTACATTATTTGTCAAATGTTGTTGAGGCCAAAAAAATGTCTTTTCTAGATATGAAGATTAAGCTTGAAGAGACAGAAGGCACTCTATGCCAGTTGATCAAGGAAAAGGCTCTTCGTCATGCTTACAGTGAAGGTATATTTCATGTACAAAAGTTGGATATTAACCAAACTGATCAAATTGGTTGTAATTTTGAACTTGACATACTCTGGTGTTTTGATCAGAGATTAAAAAGACTGAGTCAAGTGCGCGAGATCATCTTAGGAGGATATTCAATTACCACGAGAAGCTGAAACTTCAGCTGGAATCTCAAAAGAGAGATCTTGAGCTCAGAGGTCAAGAACTAAGGAAAAGGGAGATGCAAGAAGAAATTAAGAGAAAAAAGCTAGCTGAAGACTCTAAGCAGGTGCTGCATGTACTTCTTAGTCATTGGGGATTTTTTTTTTTTTTTGAATTCTCAGCTTGGCCAGTGTAGCTTACAGTTTAGAAGGTCCTAATGTTTATGACAAAAGCTAATGGACTACGTTTTCTATGTGATATGTATTATAACAATGACTAAATGAAACATTCAATTTCCACATTTGGTATTCTTTCACTGTAAACCATGTTCTATCTTTATTTTCCTTTTTCCATCTTACAAACTTTTGTTCCAGAATGCGGAGAAAAAATTCTCCCTTCAAGCTGCTGCCCAGATAAAAAGAAAAGCTGATGAAAAATTAATGAAGTTGGCTGAGGAACAGAAGGTATTCAACTGTTCTCATTTCTGATTCAATATCAAGTGGGCTTTCACACGTGAAGTTCAAACAGTTATAGGAAATTGTGTGCTCGACTTTGTAATTTCAGAGACAAAAGGAGGGCCTACATAGGAGAATTATTCAACTGGAGAAGCAACTGCATGCAAAACAAGCATTGCAGCTTGAGATTGAGCAGTTAAGAGGTCAATTGAATGTGATGAAGCACATGGAAGATGAAGGCGATTTAGAAGTCTTAGAGAAAGTCGAGTCATTGCTAAGGGCCTTGAGAGAGAAGGAAAAAGACCTTGGGCATTTGGAAGCTTTAAACCAGACTCTAATTGTGCAGGAGCGGATGACAAATGATGAGCTACAAGATGCCAGGAGAGAGTTAGTTAATGTTAGTCCTCTAACTCTAGTTATGTTTTACTCCATCCGTCCCATAAAATTCTTCCCACTTTCCTTTTTGGGCCATCCCAAAAAATTCTTCCCACTTACCATTTATGAACAATTTGTATGGTTCACATTCATTTCACCTTTTTCTTACACAACCACAACCATACATTTTCACTTTCTTAATCTCCGTGCCAAGTCAAAGTGAGAAGAATTTTATAGGACGGATGTAGTAATTATTATTTATAATTCATATTTTTTCCATCCTTTTTTATAATAAGAGTTGGTATTTATGAGGAAAGGCAACAGTTTTGGTTTGTTCTGTTTCCCCCTTCTGCCGTATGATATTCCCGCATTGTTGCATGTCTTTTCGACGCGATTGTCCATGCAATTTTCGACGCGATTTTCATCATAGATCATCCGGAAACAGTCTCTATGTGCTTTAGTACAGGGATAAGGCTGCGTCATCCGACCCCCCTTACTCCCACCATAGGTGGCAGCTTTTGCGGCATTGGAGTAATATTGTTGTTTGTCGCATGTCTTCGGATTCTCCATTTTCTCTATTTATTGTTTTTAACTCCGATTTCATATATCCATTCATGTTAGCTGACCCCATACTCTTTTGGGATTAGGGCTTGGATGGTATTGTTGTTGCCTGTCTTTCAATATTACATTGGGCCGAAAAAGGTTGTTAACCACTAGAATGAAATGGAAGCTCATCCTATCCCAGTTATGAACCATCAAAACTAAAATACATGTGATGCGTTATTTAAATTTTTTTGCCTACCCTAATTTATCCCAGTTTAAAATATGTATTCACACAATGTACACTATTGAGAAGAATCTTTTTTCATCGTAAGGAGCTTAAATTGTTTTTTGTAGCCTTTCGACTTGTTCTTGCAAATTCCAGTTTTATTTAAAATATGCGCTTTCATCACGTGTGAGTCCTTCCATATCCAATTTGATTAATATCTGATTTGCAATGGTTGTCTCAATCATGGCATAATATCTCTTGTGGTAGACAAAATTCGCATTCTAACATCAAACCATACAAATTAGGCTTTTTCTTTCTGTGTGTGAAATGGCTGAATTCGTTCTAATTGGGTGTGATATTTAGGGACAAGCTGACAAAAAATGTTGATTTTCCAGGGTTTGAAGGACATGTCGTTGAGTGCTAGTATTGGTGTCAAGAGAATGGGGGAACTTGATAGCAAACCATTTCATGAAGCAATGAAACGGAACTATAGTGTGGCTGAAGCAGATGAGAGGGCTATGGAGTTGTGCTCACTGTGGGAGGAGTACCTCAAAGATCCTGAATGGCATCCTATAAAGGTGGTCAACGTTAATGACAAACATGAGGTATGCTGTTTAAGGTGTAAATGTTAATACCCACTGCAACTGTTCAACAAAACTATGTAATATAAGTTGTTCTATATGCAACTCTCTCTAGGTCTTGTCACTTAAATTTCTTAAGAAAAAAAGTATTGTACAATATCCCACATTTTATAGGCTGAGTTTGGTATGATGGTTTTGCATACCCACATAGGTGTTGAAAGGGAAGATATTTTGTGCACTTCTAAACTTCACAGAAACTTTCATAAATACAAATGTGGCATCATTTTTTACGTGAAGGTTGCTAAGGTGCTTTTGTGAAATAATGTGTGGTTCTATGAGCCAAGGTCCCTTTTTGGATGTCCTGGAAAGAAAGTGTGAGCTTAGTTTTCTGGTTGGAGGAGTATACACATGTCGTGCTTACTTCATTTTGTGTTTTTAAATTCTATTTGGTCTTCTGATTCTGGCATACAAGCTTAGATATTTTTTCAAAGAAGTACCAATTGTTAGGTGTAATAGTTATAACTGGGATTAATACCCATAGTTAATGTTCCTCCATATGACTAGGAATTTTTTTTGTGTCTTTGCTCTCTTGCTTTTCTTCACTTGCAGTGAGATCTTATGTAAAGTTCACTCCTAGTATCTCATAGCTCTTCTGTTTGCTTCTCACCATTGTTTTCCTTTAGCATGAGGCTTCTTATCACATCATTATATGCTAAAACTCCTAAAAGCATTATAAAGGTAATTCATGTCAACAGACACCTAGTTTGGATTACAAACAAGATTGCTTGTGTTAGTTCCCTGCAAAACTTCTCGCCACAAAACTTTCCTTTCGGATAGATTGGTAGTGAACCATGAGTTCCCTAGGCGTGTGTCCGCACACATGGAATGCTAATAAAGAACCGTGAGAGGTTTTAATTTGAGTTCTCTCAATTTATTACATCTCTCTTATCGATTCATTCACTTAAATAGCTACACAAAGCGTAAGGTTAATAATGGGAATTATTAGATAGTTTAAATGAAAGTGAACATATTAAATGCACAATTGTTTCTATCAAGGTTACCCAAAATAGCTGCAGTTAATTGATACCCAAGCATCCCTGATCTGCTTCAAAATTACTGATCCTCTTGATATCCTTGTACTTTCAACACTACTTTCACTTTATCCCTCGTCCATCTGATTTTCAGTTGGCTGTTATATTTTGGGATGCTCTAAGGCTAACCGTAACCCTGGAGTGAAAAAACCGTATTTGAGCTTTTCACCCCCCCCCCCCCCCCCCCCCCAGAGCCCATGTAATTGGAGGTGCCAAAGTGGGTACATGAACCCCATGGGTGAGGATTAGGTTGCCTCATTCACCCTGCAGCATCTGCTATTTGCTGGAAAGATAAAAAGGCGCAGCCTGCTTGCTGCATGAAAGGAAAAAGTGGGTCCCAATCCAAATATAAATCCCAATTTTATTTGAAATGATATAACTTTTTTTATTTCTACTCCAATTTTTACAAAAAATATATTAAAATTCATATTTTTTTATGATCTTTCATATGACTAATATTGCATACATAAAGTTAAAGAAAGTATGAAGTTTCAACTGCTGGAAGTTGAAATGTTAAAAATTTTCTTAAGTAGATTCAAATGGTAAAATTAAGATCTTATGGTTAAATTTCTTTTTTACATCTTTCAATTACTCCCTCCATTCCATAAAACTTGTCTAAAGTCAATTTGCATGTAAAATAATAAGTAAAAACTGTGTGATTGAGATTTGTGCATAAGAAAGAGAAACAACTTTAGCCACATTAGTTACTTTAAATGGAAATTGCAAAGTTTTTTTGGACAGCCAAAAACGAAAAATTGGCCAAGTTTTATGAGACATAGATAGAATTTTTTTAAAATCGGTTTGAAGTAACAACAACAAATTAAACTCCAAATTTATTTACTCTTATATCGGAATGCTTGACTTCTTAAATCATAATTATTCGCAAAAATAATTGGGAAAAAATCGATGCATTATGATAAAAAAGGCTTTAATTTAAAAAACTTTGTTAGGTTAATATATTGACAATGATGGATTAAGTAAAAACTAAATTGACTGAGTGAATATGTATAAATTGGTAGTGAATTTATTTTATTGATGGAGCTGGGTTGCAGTTAGCCTAACTAAGTTTAATCAGACAAATGGCGGGAGTAACATCTATAGTAGATAAGATGTAGGAGTCTCGATTGCGGTGATTTGGTCATGTACCTAGAAGACAAAGTGATGCACCCGTTAGACGAGTTGAAAAATGAGAAGAAGAGGTAGAGAAGAGAGGGAGACCCAAACAAAGAAGGATTAGTGGAATGTGGAGTGATATGCTTCTTCTTGGATTGCATGAGAGTATAGCTTTGGAGAGACCAAAGTGGAAGATAAATATTCGTGTAAAAGATTGATCTCTTTTATCTCATTTCTCTCTCGTTTTCTTTTATCTTTTGTATCTCCTTTATATTTCTTATTTTCTCTATCCTTTTATCCTTTTGTTTTATATATTTTCTTGTTATCTTCTTTATCTTATCATTTTTATCTCTTTATCCTCTTTATCCTTATCTTATCTTTTGCATCTTACCTTATCTTTTTATCTCTCTGATCTTTTGTTTTTGGTTCTGGTATCATGTTAGCTGATGCCATAATCTTTTGGATCCAAGGCTTGGATGTTGTTGTTGTAGTGGTAACTTGTTTTTTTTTTTTTTGAGAGAGATTGGCTGCATTTCACTTCCTTTTTATTGTATAGTCAAAGTTTGAAGCCTATAGCTCTTCGCAATAAATTACAATTGTCTAATGAAATCACTCTCTAGTTTGAGGCTTTCTTGTAAAAGGTAAAAAAACGCCATCCTATCTATCTATTTATCTATTCTTTTCTTGAGTGCTAATATAAATAATTTATTAATGTAATTGTTTGTTCTATAGATTAGTTATGTGCAAGATTAGGCTAAATGAGGATTCCAGGAACGGTTGGGAATCGTGTAGTAGACTTGTGGATCACTAGATAGCTGCCCCCAAAGAGTAAAACAAAGGCAATCAGTTGCATACATGAAACTAGGAATTTCTCTTGGTCGATATGGTGTTTTCATTTGATTTAAGTGATCTTTTCTGAAGTTAGAGATTTTGTCATAAAGCTGATTCAGCCATCAATGCCAACCCAAACCAACACTTTTGGTGTTAAATATTATATTAACTTCACTAAGATTTGGTTACCCTATATGTACCTCTTTAGTTTTTGGGTACTTGAAATAACCTTTTTTGTTTTGTGTACAGGCGGTAATAGATGAAGATGACGAAAAACTGAGAGATTTGAAGAAAAATTATGGCGAAGAAGTTTACAACGCAGTCACAAAAGCACTCTTTGAGATAAATGAATATAACTCGAGCGGAAGGTACGTTATTTCCGAGCTGTGGAACTATAAAGAATGTAGGAGAGCAACCCTCAAGGAAGGAGTTGAGATTCTGATGAATCACTGGAAACTGTACAAATGGAGGAGAGGAATGGATTGATGGGTGGATTTGCACTCTCTATGTTGTTGTAAACTTGTAATACCGATTTTTCATTCAAGAATAGTCATTTAATTGATATCTCTAGGCATGTAATATGTAATATTATGTATGGCTTTAACTTTTTATAACAATTCATTGTTATCTTGAAGCTCATTGCTTAATTGACTTGTTTTCAATTCATTATTTATCCTCTCCGTAATATGTATGGCCTTAACAGTATATATTTGTATGGAATTGCACATTTTTAGACAACTTTAAATTAGGAGAGATTATATATACTTAAGTGTATTTCCGATGTATAAAAATAGTGTATATACTTTTCCGTGCAGGCTAGGCATGAGATTGGTTTGCTCCTGGTTAAAATTAATACAATCGTTTCAAAAAATGTAGTTGTTAAAAATGTTCGGTTATACTCTGTAGTAAAAAATGTACTCCGTAGTTTTTAAATTTTGTTCGGTCATCCTTACTTTTTTTTTGTTTCTTATTATAAAAAATATTCATCCTCATAAGATCAACACATTTTACCTTAAGATTGTTAAAAACCTTCATGTTTTTTGTTAGATGAGAATAAAATTTCAAAGTTATGACTGTTACATTATACATACATAATGCATCCAATGTTCAAATATCATAAAACCATGGCCAATTAGTGAGTTAAATAAAAAAAAAACATACCACCATAGAAAAATTGCAAAACAAAGCCTATTAAAAAATAGGGAGAATCTGGATGTGTTAGAATTTCAATATCAAAGCTTGGAAGAGTAGATGTGCTTAAAGGGAGAAGTTTAGATGAAGAAACCGAGTAGCACCAGCAGTAGTCGGTACTAGTCGTAGACATGGGCGGAGCTAGGGGTGGGCCAACCTAGGCCATGGCCCACCCCAAATTTTAAAAATGGTTTAATTTTTATGGTAAAAAATTTCGTGTAATTTTTTTCTAAAAATATTCTTTGTACCGGTCCAGTCTGGCCCAGTGCCCTGGCTCCGCACCTACTCGTAGATGAATCGATTGTTCGTTTGAGTAGTAGTCGCGTGCTTTGAATTAGGTTTAAAGCTATAAAGGCTTAAGGGTTAATAATCAATGTGGACTTGTTTGGTTGGTCCACGATAAATAAGGTATATTATGGAAGACAAATATTCATGTTGGGAATTTCCTGATCGGAAAACATTGTCCGGTCTCCTCTATTTGAGGTTCTTCCGAATGGAATTTTTTGATAAAATCTTTGGTGGATCCACCAAATTTGCGCTTAAAATTCAGTCGATAAGTTTGTTAAATAAATTATTGGAAAACATTTTGTTACATATGTTTTGGCATAGTGTTTTTTAATTTATTTAGCTAACTTCCCAATTTAATTTTAATTTGAAATTTGGTCGGTATAATCTTCACTTCATGTAGAACAAGCTCACAAAAATTCATAAAAAATTTCACTCGAAAGCCCCTCAAATAAAGGTTACTCATAGAAATGTTTAAGAACTTCAGTTCCCGTGAGTTAAAATTTATTGAAACCAGAACCTAACTAGTTAAATGTTGTAGGAACCGAACCGAAACACAGAAGTCAAAAATTATATAAATCAAATCGGGTAATTTGGTTCGGTACGGATTGGTTTTCCCGATTTTACGGTCCTAAGTCCCTAGGCCTAGTGCGGGCTTAAACTCCACGTTGAGAAATGACACAATTATTATATTTTGACAAATAGTTTTGACAATATCACCTAATGATCTCATTGATGATATTTATGGTGTTATAGTTGTATAGTTTTTAATATATGCTGAATAATTTGTCTTTAATGTCCAGTATATTTCCTAAAATAGAAATGATAAGTTCTAGTTGGGACGTCCAACTAAGAGACAAGTGAAGTTTAAAGGCCTGACCTTTAAAGGTGCACCGAGCCTTGTTTAGTTGGCACAATTAGTTTAGCCTTCGTGTCCGTATGTACTTTAATTGAGATTAGGTGGGTTAATTAGGTCTAGCCGATATATACTTTAAAATTATGAGGAGGTAGAGAAAGGTAATATTCTCTACATTATATTCCTCTTAAACGGTGAGACATCTCCATTCATATATTATTTAAGGATGAAGTTGGTAATATTGCAATTGTTTATGCAAGCATGGTTGAGTGAGAGAGATAATTTTACAGAATAGTTTGAGACTTTGAGGTCAGAATATGAAACTCGATTCTTTCAAGATTGTTTGTGATGTTAGACTTAGTGACCATTTGGTAGCCATTTTTTTTGGCTTTCCGGGCTTATAAGCTAACATTTTCACCAAATACGTAACTTTTGGTTTTACGGGTTGAATTGTGTAATAATAAGAAAAAGTAATGTTGGAGTTACTTTTATGAATGTATCAGTTGAAGTTACTGTAGAAGACCATTTTAACTATTTTTTCATATATTTTTTTCTTTATTTTATTAATAAAATGTATTTGAAATTATTATTTTTCACAAATCAACAGAATCAGCCAATACAGCCATATCAGCTAGAACTTCATAAATTTCAGCAGAATCAGTCAATACGGCCGATTGAATGGGCTCTTAATCAATTAGTGTAGGACTCAGAGCATCTCCAATGCTACAATGTGCACAGTGCACATGTGGCATGAGAGATAGCCACATAAATATTACTAGTAGTAAATAAATTATTTATCTCCTTATTTGAATGGTTTTATACAGTTTTGGTAAGTTTTTCTCCACAATGTCAAAGAGATCGTCTAGATGTTGACATTGCAGTTGACATTGAAAGGGAAAACTTACCAAAATTGAATAAAATCATTCAAATAAGGAGATAGATAATTTATTTGCTAGTATTTATGTGGTTATCTTTCATACCACATGCGCACCGTGCACACTATAACATTGGAGATGCTCTCACAAAAGATCAGATTCTTCTAAGATGATGGTTGAATGTGATTTAGAGCGCGTAAGAATATTTATTAAAGAAATATGTGACATTGATTTAAAAATAAGGGAAAAACTGATTATGTGGGAATTAGGAATGAGATAATATTATGTAATTATCTTTAGATGGAAGGATACACATGATTGATGACTTTCTATCTTGAATATGCTACTCTTGTCTATTCACTAATAGATCAGGGCATGCATTCAAGTCTAGTGTCCTACAAGCTTTTAATCTGTTTCCAATCTTGCCTACTCTTTCCTGCCATGACGATCACTAAGTTTGTGCCTTCTCATTTTGGAACCAATTCCATCTTATACTTCAAAATGGATCAATTGTTGAATTTGAAACATGCAATATAATATACTCATCATATAAATAAATAAAAGTCACACTTTATATGCAAATGCATGCACCTAAATTTGGAGACCTTGCATAGACATTTGCCTTATCTTACGACTGGACATATAAACCATCATCACATTTTCCTCTATTATCAAGTTTTGAATAAAGCATGTTAATTTTTTAGAAATCTTGATGTTTCACCTTTCAAAAAAAAGAAATCTTGATGTTTCAATTTCACGTTGTTGTTGGGGCCCTTTTAAGACGAAGACATAATGTGAATATTAATATGACATGAAATGGTCGATAGGGGAAGTTGAATTGGCAGCAAATAATTAATGGACAACCATAGATTACTGTCATTTTCTTTATTATTCTTAATTTGGATTTCATATCGGCAGTCAACACAAAACTACGTTACCTCTTGCATATGAGCTCGCAGTCGCCATTTGTTTGAAGGGAACTGTCAAATTATATTAATGTAAATAAATGTTTATAGTTACAATCAGGACCGGAGTCAGGGCACTGGATCGAACTGAGCCGGTACAAAGAATATTTTTAGAATTTTTTTTACACGGAATTTCGTACATTAAATATATATACATTTTTTAAATTTGAACTGGGTCAGGCCGGGGTTGGTCCTCCCTAGATATGCCCGCGGTTACAACTATCCAACCATCCTTCCAGAATATTCCATCTAAATTCAAAAGAAGCAGCGCGAGTCGGTAGCCACTAAATGAACAATATAGAGAGAGTTCTTACCCTTAAATCATCATACTTTTTGTCACTTCAAAAATCTCAAAAACACCGAAAATTCTTTCAGTTCCTGATCAAACATTAAAAAGTTCACACAAAATAGAGCAAAACTTTTTACTAAACATACGAGAACGTTGAGGCAAATAACGATCTTAAAGATCCCATCTCAAGAATAACACAAACACAATCAAACCAAAACCAAGGTGAAAGGTCTAAAAAGAAAATAGCACCAGAAAACGCTAGTGACCCAATCCAACCTCCAAACACGTATTATTCCAAACTCTAGTCACATGGCCACCCCAAAGAAGCACTTCAAGAGGGAATATGTATATATTCCAAACTGACGTTCTCACGTTAAGCATCGTTATCATTAGAACCGCATCATATATATATATATATATATATATATATATATATATATATATATATATATATATATATATAGGTGAGATCACATACAAATCATGCTTAACTTACTAATCTACAAACTCAATAATATGCAACACTTTAAACTTGAATATGCAGTACAAATAATGTAAAGATGCACTCTTTGAATTTCAATATGCAATACAAATAATGCAAACATGAAATTGCTATTTTATGGCTTGAATAATATGAAACACTTTGAACTTCAATGTGCAATACAAATAATGCAAAGATGATTTGAATGGGAGGACTAGTTTGTATGTGATCTCATCCCTGCATCTTTACATTATTTTTACTGCATATTGAAGTTCAAAGTTATGCATATTATGGAGTTTGTAGGTTAGTATTTTAAGCATGGTTTGTATTTGATCTCTGATATATATATATATATATATATATATATATATATATATATATATATATATATATATATATATATATATATATATATATATATATATATAAGAAGTTTATATATAAGATCATATAAAAGATCATAAGAAGTTAGGAATATTAATTTTGATTTTTTTTTGTAATTTAAGGAATGCATATAATAAAAATATAGAGCTTTGTAAAAAACAATTACTTACCTCTCGGCCCATTTCCAGTAGATATCTTCTTTTCTCATCCGCATGTAGTTTGTTTTTTATGAAAAAATCAAGATATATTTTATTAATAAATTAAAAAAAAAATATGTGAAAAATAGCCAAAACGCGTGATCTTTTACTGTAACTTCAACCAGAAAATTAAGGTTATTTTAATCTTACTTATTTTGATTATTACACTATTCAATGCGCCATCTTAATATATAGCACCATGCGTATTAATTGTCCACTATTGCCGCTTCCGTTACATCTACTATGCGTGGTTAGATTAAAATTTGAGATGAAGAGTACAAATTTAACCTTTTCACCCAACCATGCATCACAAGTGGTCTAATGGTACAATTTTTTTTGGTCCAATGGGTGAAACACTCATATTCACATTTCACTTTTCAAATCTATACAACTAATGTATATGAGTGGTTAATACTTGATATGAACTTCTATGGACTTTGAAATATGAAAAAATTCCCTAGTTTACATTTGTTTTGGCAAACCCTAGTTTACAATTCTAAATTTCGGTAGTCGTTGGCCCATCTAATAATAAAATTGATCTATACACTAATGCTACAGCCCATACGTGTCTAACAAGTATTGGTTATGAATTATTTCATTCATACACGTTTTCTATATTTTCAATTTGATTATATACTAAAAATCACTATTCATCAAATGAATTACTACCCCGTCTTACTAACATCGAAACATGAGGATATGATATTGTTATTAAGAAATGTGGGATTAGTATTGAATTAATAAAGTAAAAATGAAATAAGAATGATTTAAAATCGCACAAATTTTACCAATTTTGGTATATGATAATCTTAATAGGACGTATCGAAAAGGAAAGATGAAATAATCTTAACAGGACGGAGGCAATACATGTAATTCTTAATTGGAGCACCCGAAATAACACTAGATATTGAATTGATGATTTGTCGTATTTTAGACCTCAATAGAGCTTTCATCTAACTCTCGGAGAAACCACCGACTTTGGAGAATTTTACAAAACCCCGTTAAAGCTATTACAGAAATGGAATATTTAACTAAATAAAGAAAAAATCGAGCTATTATTGTTGAGGGCATTTGGTCTAGTGGTATGATTCTCGCTTAGGGTGCGAGAGGTCCCGAGTTCAATTCTCGGAATGCCCCAATTCACTAATGCATAATGATCTAAAGTTAATCTTTTGGGATTCAGTACACTCGATACAATTTTATTACTTTTTTCTATAGTCTTGATCATTGTTGGGTTAAGATCATATATAACACGTACTCAAATTTGATACTGGTCCAGAACTCCACACTCCTCTATATATAGAAAAAGAAAACAGACTTTTCTTCTTATTATTTTGGAGCTCCTTCAAATTGTTCTTTTAGTAGTTTGTTTTGTATAATAATAGTACTAATAATAATAATAGTAAAAATAATAATAATAACAACGGTAACAACAATAATATCACAATTTTATGTTTTAATGCTCTTTAAATTGTTCTTTCACTTTTGTGTTTTGTATAAGTATAATTAACAATGGCGTTTTCTAGCCCAACTTCTTAGTTCTTACAAAGGAAGGTTAGTTTTAGTATGTTAAATCGGATCATAAGTCATATATTCACATTCAATAGTGGTACATAGAAAGCAACACGGGTTTTCTAGTTTCCATAACTCTTGTACATGTTCTTTCTGTTATTTTATAACTAACACTACAAAAAAATATTGAAATAGCTAGCCACAGATTTTGTTAGGGTTCAATCATGGCACAAAACATCTCTAACAAATGCTTTTGTGAGGGATTTTATCAGGGATCTCATCTCATCCCTAACTATGATCCAGTGCCCTGACGAAATTATTGTTAGGGATACAGAATTGGTGACTAATTTTGTAAGTGAATTGTGAGGGATTTATCCTCAACAAACGGCTGTCAGTCCCTATTTCCGTAGTAAGGGAAAATTCCCTGACAAAACTCAAAATTCGGCCACTAATTAATTTAGCTAGGCAGGATAAGTCCCTCACAAAATTCAAAAATATGATGCAATTCAATTTACATAGTTAGGGATAATTCCCTGAATCATTCAAAAAACAGCAGTGATTTTTTTTTGTGACAGTCAGGGATACTTCCCGACAAAATTTACAAATTCCAATGCAAAATACAAAATTGAATTCAAGTAGTCAGGGATAAATCCCCAGAAAATGTATTTTTTCAAATGTTAATTATCATCATCATCATTATTTTTATTATTATTATTATTATTATTTAAACATAATCTTGCTCTTGTATCTATTTTAAAATGATAACATAACAATATACTCCCTCCGTCCCGTAAAGAATTTCCTAATTTGACCTACACACATATTTATGTAATGTAGAGTTTGTTTTAACTTTCCAAGTATACCCTTACTTTATGTCAAATCAGTGTTCTAAAAAGCGCCTAAAGGCGTCACAAAAGCGGGCCTAGGCGTGACGCGGGACACAAACGCCCCGCATGTACACTATGTGTGAAGAAAGGCGTACGCAACTCAAGAAGAACTTAAATCGAGCGTACTTCGCAGTTAGATGTTAAAGGCAACTGCCGAGTTATATAGAGACGTAGGAGTAGATATCAATTGATTGTTTCCGGTGTGGGAAAACAAATCAGCCTAAGTTGTTTTTCTATAATACAAAGCTAGCTTCGGTGCACCAACTACCAGTCTACCAATACGCTGCATCGCTATGTATTACCAAGTATACAATAAACTAGATGGATAATTTCTGTAATGCTACGTATATTATTATTAATTTATTGCCAGCATTATACCACATGGTTATTATTTTAATTATTATTATTTGGATTTGTATTCGTTAACATCATTATTTCACCAATGAACTATTTCAGACTTTTGCTTTTGTATATATGTTTAGAGCCTGTTTGGTAATCCCTATTTATAGTTTATCAGTTTTATCAATCAATTTTTTTAGAATACATAGTTTTTTTTTAATTCATGGGCTGAATTTTTTAATAAGAACACATAAGTATTTGAATTTTTTTAAGAACACATAAGTAAAGTTCGAGTTACTCCTCTAGCTGAATTGGTTGAGGATGTTTTAGCTATTTTCATGTATTTTTTCTAAATTTTATTAATAAAATACGAAAATATATTTTAACTGTAATTTTTCATAATTCACCAGATTTGATCAATTTAGTCAGAATTTCATAAACATTAAATGATTTATCCAATTCAACCAATTTCATTATTACTAAACGTGTCCTGAATATGTGTATATGTAACATTATCTTTTTAAGAACTTTAGAAGCTTGTTTGTGTTTGAATATGCTGAAATATGATGCTTTCACCTAATGTTTTTGAATTTAATTACAATTACATATTACTACAGCTTCTATTAAAGGTAAAATAATCAGTAAAAACTCAAAACGTCTTTTCACGCCTTAACCCCGTCTAATCTCGTCTAAGCTTCAAAGGCTTAAGGCTCGATCATGCCGTCTCGTCACGCCTTACGTCTTTTAGAGACACCGTGTCAAATCAAACAAAAAGTGGATAAAAAGTAAGGGTAGTTGTGACTTTTTGGTTAAAAGTGGTTTCCTTTTATAGAAATGAGAACTTCTTTTTGGGACATTCATAAAAGGAAAGTGAGAACTTCTTTGCGGGACGGAGGTAGTATAATATAAATCTAAAAATATCAAATTAGATATAAATAAACTAGATCCGATCAAATTTAAAGTGAATCCGTTCAAATTAAATTAAATTACAGACCATGTAACTAAATTCAAGTCCAAAAAACTTATCCTAGATCAGTATGAGTTTTGCGTCTCAACTCCTTGACCATCCCAACTTACGGATAGAGTTGAGAGATCGGTCTTGGTCCCTGAGAATAACAGAATAGACTTAATAATAGTTTTATTTTTATGAAAATCACATTTCTACATATTTTTTGTATCATAAGCTTCACACATTTTGTCGCAAGTCACTCGTTTATACTTTATTTTTAGTATATGAAAATAACAGAATAGACTTAATAAGAAGATCTTACCACTCGTTTTTCAACCGTAATTTAATAATCTTCTCATTTTTAAATCTTGTAGAATATCATCAATGATTTTGAAAATAATACACTATTACAACTACTTTTTTGGATTTATTCTTCATTTCATCACACTCCAAATAATTTATATGCCATCATATATACTATCAATAACTTATATCCTTTCATTATTCATAATCTCACCCACTTTCAAAGTGAAAAGATCTTTTTGTTACGGAGGACGTACAAGTTTTCATAAATGTTTCACTAGCTAGTTAATTGATTATAATTAATTATTTATGATACCGACAAAATGGGCAACACGTGTTACTAAATTGTAGTACCTCCGCCCAACCAATAATGGGACATAAGGGGGAGGCAGAGACATTAAGAAAAGTGTGTTTATGTGATTGATATTGAATTGATAAAGTGAGAATAAAGTAAGAATGATTTAGTAAGAATTACGTAAGAGTAATTTAGTAAGAATAAAGTAGGAATTGATATTAAATTAAGAATACATTGAGAATTTATATCAAACAAACAAAATTATCAAAACTATAACAATTTAACTATATATCTGAGAAGCAATGTTTACAAAATCCAACGCTCAATCTCTAATAAGATGGGAAAAACCTATTGAGTTTGAATGGCAACTTGTAGAATTCATCACTTCTAACATCTCTTCCATATGCCACAAATTTTTGCCACCAACACGAGCCATTATCTTTACTATCATTATTAGGCAGGGTACGGTCCAGAAACTCAGCAATTATAACCGCCACCGTTGCATGTGACATGAAGATAACTGATATTATATCGTTAAACTGCAACATTTATTTAATTAACTAGATTAATAAAAGGGAAATCGCTCTAAACAGGAGTGAAAAATGTTTTGGAATTTCAAAATAGGATTGATATATTTTTCTTTCCAAAATTGAAAAATATTGTCATTAATGACACTAAATATTGTCATCTTAATGTCTAGTAATGCAACTATTTTGGCAAATGACAGTAAATACCGAGACGTTACTGATATTTCAGGGAAAAAAAACATATCAATCATATTTCGGCATTTGAAAACTTGTTTAGTATTTTTCCTTAATAATATTGACAAGTGATGAGACAAATATGCTAAACATTGGTTTTAAAGAGACATAATACGTACCCATCTAGCATGTGTATGAACAGGATATGATCCAAACACTATTTGATGTTCCTTGAAGTATTGAGGTAGTGATAGTCCCATGAACAAGGAAAATCCTAGTATAAACTTTGTTCTGAAGCTATTCAAGTTGCAAAATTGAAGGAAACCAAGACCAGCTGAAGCTGCGATGAAGAGATATGGTAATACAGAGTATGTTCCTATTACTATTGTTGGATTTATTTTCACTTTGGACTCATCACTAGCTAGCGTACGTTGAATTATGACTCTTTTTCACTTCACAACACAATTTAGGAAATGTATGCCAATTTTTGTCCTTCGGCTAATAACTAATTGTGCTAAATGTGACCAGAAATCTCACGTCGGGAGAAATGGTAATGTTATACTTGTGCTCTATGACAAGAATTTTATAGTCAAACCAAAAGGTGTATATATAGAACTTTAGAAGAACTGGAGTAATTTTATACTTGTGCTCCATTCATTTCTTTTTCTTCTTCTTATATCTCTCAACCTCTTTTTGTTTATCTTACTCGCCGATATACCCACACTAATTCCCCCCTCTATCTCTCTCCGATTGAGAGTCCATTTGGCAACACTTGAATCTACTTATATTGATGTTATTATGGTTGAATCGTCTGAATTGGACGTACTGAATTATCAAATAAATAAATATGGATTATTTATGAAATAGAGGAAACAATTAGATGAAAATACCTAAGATGGTTCTCCAGAAAACACTTCTACACTAACTTCAATCAATTCATCTAGAAAAATAGCTACAATCTAACTTACTTATTTTGAATATTATACAATTCAAGCATTCAATGTGCATGCGCAACATAAAGAAATACGTGTTTGGTGATAAAAAAGAACTGATAAAATGAATAATTTGGAAATATTGGTAACCAAACCAGCTCTAATCACTAAAAGTTAAAAATACTGGGACCCAAAAGGAAACAAACCTTATCATAAAAGACATAGTACGCAGGGGCGAAGTCAGAGCATTAGTCGGACTGGGCCAGTACAAAGAATATTTTTAGAAAAAAAATTTACACGAAATTTTTTACCTTAAAAATCAAGCCATTTTAAAATTTGGGGTGGGTCATGGCCTAGGTTGGCCCACCCCTTGCTCATGATAGTCTGTATTGTTTTGAGGTGCGATTATGATTTGAGTAGAATAGTGTGAAATGATATGAACCACATTTTTCTTACAGAAAAAACAGAACAAAACATCTATTTTGTGACAATCCAACAAGGAAAGTAACACAACAAACATGGGGCGAAGGGAGTGCATGTTTTGGGCCTTTTGGCTACATAAGAATTTCTTATGTACATTCCAATTTGACATCTCTTCATTACACCAATTTCATGACATAGATGACAAGTATTACACTACTTTTCATCATCCGATGAACAAAAGTCACATTTGGAATGTTCTAGAAAATGTATTTAATCAAATGGATCAAAGAAAATATGTTTAAAAATTGATGCGGTAAAAAACTTGTGAGATGGGAAAGTACGTACAAACATATGCAAAGAAGACGCAATACAAGGCTGCCATTACTGGCATAGGAATCGAGGCGAAAAGTGCTCCAAATTTTCCTAGCGAATATAAGAAAAAGGGTAACATGTAAATATATACTTCATATGTAACAAAAAATATACTACGTACACAATAACATTAAAAAAAAAGCATTGAAAACCATCTGAACTTATTATACAAATACTCCTTGTACCAATTTGATTTGCAAAATTTCTTATTTTGGTTGTCCCAAAATGGTTTTTCACTTTCTATTTTAGGTATGTAAATAAGAATAAAGTGACATCTATTTTTAGAAAGATGGACAAAAGTGTAAAAAGCAAGCATCATTTATTGTCATTCTTTAATTTTGTGTCGGTCAAAGTTTTCAATTCAATTCGGGACGGAGAAGTAATACCTAATATGGCGAAAGAAATCATGAAGCCTGCAGATATCTGGGCAACTCTTCGGCTTCCAACTTTTGTTAACGCCAAGAGACCGACATTTTCTCTGAGACGTGCGAAAAGCAGTCAATATTTTTAGTATTAATAATATTTCTAGTTTGTACCCCTATAATCGGAAATATTTTCTTGCCAACTCTTTATCAATTTGTTTTTAATTGGACTGAAATTTTCTGTTCTGATCTAGTTTCACCTGGTCTAATCTGAACTGGTCTGGTTTATTCTGATAAATGTCTGGTCTCTGTGTACTTTATAATTTAGAAATTGCTCTAAATAGGAGCAACAACGTTTTGAAATTCTAAAATAGGAGTATCATGTTTTTTATTCCTTGAATAGAAGTAATCTGCCATGTTTAGAAAAAAAATGTCATGTTTTAAAACCTAGGAATGCCAAATTTGGCAGAAATTTACTCCTATTTTACTCACATTTTGAAATTTCAAAACTTTTATTCCTGTTTAGGGAATTTTCTCTTTATAATTGTGCAAATCTGATCTTCTCTGATCTGATGTGGTTTGGTCTAGGACTGAAAATAATCCAAGTAAAAACATCCCAAAATATACCCCGTATTAGATTAACATGGTTTTCACATTGCATTTCATTGCAATATTGAAGTATACTCGTATAAATCTGGTATGATTTAATCTAGTTTCATATGATTTGTGGCTAAAAGCCAATTAAAAAATTCTAAATGATTGATTACTCTTAAAGATCGAAAACGTATATAGCAAGATATGAAAAACAAAATAAAATAAATTACTTTTCAAAGATGGAAACCAAAAAATGCTGTTGCACCAAAATGTAAGAGGGTAGAGTTTAAACATTACGGTGTTGCACAAGGGCCCGTCAGTCCGCCAAAAAGTCCACTAAGCATAGTCCCTACCCCCTGAAGCAAATTGAGTGTGAATTTATCAAAAAAGAACCACACCCAATCCGAGCGCCCCCAACTCCGATCGAACGGTACATTGGGAGTATGTAAATTGAACTATAATCTCAATCTGACAGATAGAGAATGAGGCTCTGTCCGCGGTATTTGCAGAGGCCCTATGCATATTTTAGCATAGTAACCCCTCATCAAGTCGCTGGGTTTCAAACCCGGGACCTAACCTTTGTGCCACTCCCTCACTACCAGTTGAGTTACGTCCACCGGTGTGAATTTATCAAAATAATAGGAGCTTAATAATATTAAAATGTAGGAGCTTAATAATAATAAAATTAAATCTTACAAGCCAACCGACACCTCGGCTCATGATAGAAGGTGGCACTGGGGTAGCACTTCCATATCTCGATGTAGCGTAAAATACGGCCGTAGACTGTTAGAAAATGAGAGAATTCTCTAAGTAGGAACAAAAAAATTTTGAAATTCCAAAAAAGAGTATCATATTTTTTATTCCTTGAATAAAAGTAAATTTCTGCCAAGTTTGACATTACTAGGCATTAAAACATAGCATTTTTTTTTCAAATTTGACAGATTACTCCTATTCAGGGAATAAAAAACATGATACTCCTATTTTGAAATTTCAAAAACGTTTTTGCTCCTATTCAGAGCAATTTCTATTAGAAAATATGAACTACTCGTATTATAAAGGAATAATTTGTTTGTATACTTCATTTGTACACGTCCTCGATCTTGTTCAAGGACGATTCTTTCAAAAAATCGTAGAATTTATAAAAAAATGTATACAAAATTGTGTATAAAGTGTAAAATTGGCGCATATTATTACTGTACAAAATAAAGAGATGTATGTATATATGCACAATAATTAAATATGATATGTTAGTAATTAACCTCAATGGAAGAGACAAAACAAGAGGTTAGAATTGCAAAAACGTCGCCTGCATTAAAGGTAGGAGCTCCCCATTGAAATGGCAAAGGCACGCTAATCCTGCATGATAATAATGCAAGATTAATTTGCTTGGTTCCACGTACAATATAATGATTAAATTTGTGACGCGCGTATTTAATTTACATCCGAATTGGCTCCATTAATTATGTAAATAATTAAAATGGGTATTAAGATATAATAAAGAAATTATCAACTTATCTTTCACATCCTAGATTGTAATTAAAATTTCTATCGTGCAAATTGTATTGATGAATCAAAGTTGGCAGTGCATGGCGGAAAGGGGCATGCAAAGCTAAGTGTTTATGTAGATGACTGACCAAGAGGATGCGCTCATACGACGAGAACTATCGATCCGACAATTCTCTTCAGAATATGTCTTATAAGGTCCACTCCAAGTTAAAATGGCTGCGTACATCCATACAATGGAAACACAAAACAGCACACCAAAGCGATCCAATATTGGCCTTTTTAGTTTTAGCCATGTAGGAAGATACTGCATGCATGTCAAACATACATATATAGATTATGATCGAGTTCATATTCTAAGGACAGAAAACATATACTCCGGTTCTTATTAAAGTTCCCACTTTCCTTTTTGGGATGTCTCTTATTTAAGTTCACACTTCCATTTTAGGAAACAAAACAATGCAAAACAGTGTCAAACAGTGCCAAACAGTGTCCAAACATTGCCAAACAGTGCACTCCACAGTAAAGTCAAATTCATTTTCTTAATATGTGTGAAGTCAAACTGAGAACTTTAATAAGAACCGGAGGAGGGAATATATATAAAGAAAGAGGAACGAAATAATGTCTCTATCTTTTTAGCATTACCTGGGAGACAAGGATTATAAAGAACAACTCTGGAATACCCACTACGGCGCACTTGGCCATCTTGACACAACAAAAGAAAACAATCAATTTTCAAGGATGCCGTTAAAATACACAAAACTAAATTGTACCTAATGCAATGCCTAGTAATTTGTATTATTTATTTCACAAATGAAATTTTAGAATGTTAAGTACTTTCTAACAATTTTAAAATTTGTAATTATTTCAATTAGTTTGTATTTATAAAAAAATGCAATCACGCTGTGAAGAATAAGGATGTCTTTACTTGAACTGAAATTTGTTGGTCTGGATTGGTTTGTTAAAGTCTGATCAAGTCTGATCTGGTCTGGTATATGCCTGGCTTTGTGTATTTTATAACTATGATAATATGGTTCGGTCTGTTTTGATATGTTAAAGTTTGGTCTGGTTTGTTTAAGTTTGGTCTGTTCTAGTCTGTTTAATTTGGTCTGTTCTAGTCTAGGAATGAAAACAGTTCAACTAAAAACGTTAACTTTGTATAAAAAGTACATGGATATATACTACATATGCAAGTTTGAGATACTCATCACACACTTCATTAAAATTTGGGCAATTTAAATCGTTTTTCCGTTTTATCATTGTCTTAGTCTTGATATGGTCTGGTGTCTCTATAAGACTGGTCCGATCTAAAACTGAAACAAGTTCCACTGATAACATCTTAGTAAGACTTGACCCTTAGACTTATCGCGAAATCTAATGGAGTCCTAACCTATATGATTCCACTGTAGATTCATATAACACATGTGACCCGTAGTCCTCCACTATAGATCCAATATACAAAGAAATGGTTATTTTAAAGTTTTGTGTCCGTACAATACAGTTTCTCATTATGCCCGAATGCCTCATACAAATGAAGATAGATACTAAGATGACCTAGAAGATGTTCTATTCGCCTTATTCTTATTATTTATTCTTATTTTATTTGGATCAAATCAGATCAGAAAATTCAGATCATGTCAAATTAGAAACAATCAGATCAGATAAAAAAAAATCATATTAGATCAGATCAGATCAAAACATTCAGATCAGATCAAAAACATTCAGATCAGATCAGAAACATTCAGATCAGATCAGAAACATTCAGATCAGATCAGAAAAGTTCAAACATGATTTATCACTTTTGTTATTATTATTGTTATTATTTTTATTATTGTTACTATTGTTACTATTGTTATTATTGTTACTGTTGTTATTGTTGTTTTATAATTATAGCTATAATTATAAGTAGTGTAATATGTATAATTATTATAGTTTTAATTTTAATTAAAATTATTTTAATTATAATTATCATTTTTTATAATTATGATTATAATTATATTTAAATTATATTTATAATTACAATTAAAATTATAATAATTATGATTATAATTATAATAATTATTATGATTATAATTATAATAATTATGATTATGATTATAATTATAATTATAATAATTATGATTATAATTATAACTATAATAATTATGATTGTAATTATAATTATAGAAATATTCAAATCAGATCAGATAAGAAACATTGAGATCGAATCAGAAGGATTTAGATCATATCAGACCAGATCAGAAAGAATTAGATCATATCCATAAAGATTCGGATCAGATCAGATCAGATCAGATCGGAAAGATTAGATCAGACAGATCAGAAAAATTCAGATCACACCAAATCAAAACTTAAAAAATACAGATAAGAAACATTCGTATCATGAGAACAACTTCTTAGATGGACACATATTCGAAGTGATTGTTTACAGTTTTTTGCAAAGTAAAACTTGGGTCATATACCTACAACAATCACTTTGAATGTGTTGATATAACTTAAGAGTATTTTTTCTTTCAACATCTCTTTATTATATTCATATTTGAATTTAAAATAGAAATTTATGGTTATTATAGTTTTATTTTTCAAACAAATCGCGGCCTCACAATTTCATCTTTAATAATAATGGACCAAAATGTTTCAACTTGCAAGTAAGATATACATATCCTCAAAATTGACACCTCAAAGCTTTGGAATGAAGTCTCACCAATGGGAAGCCCAGATGAAAAAGCCCAAACCCAGTTAATGTGATAAGTGGAACCACTGACAAAGGGCTAAGAAACCTGAGTCAAAATAATAAAATTCAGAAGCTATACAATTTGTCTGTTTAATTAGTAAAATGAATTTTATCAATCAAGACTATAAAAGATACTCTCTCAGTCCCAAATTGTAAGATACATTTACTATTCACTTGGTCAACATAAATCACTCTTAATCTTTTACTTTATACGTAGTATATCAAAAGTTTATGAAATTTGAATTATTTTTTGCGGGTTTTGTAGCGGTTTTAATGTAGTTTCTGAATATGTAAATTTTATCAATCAAGACTATAAAAGATACTCCCTCAGTCCCAAATTGTAAGATACATTTACTATTCACTTGGTCAACATAAATCACTCTTAATCTTTTACTTTATACGTAGTATATCAAAAGTTTATGAAATTTGAATTATTTTTTGCGGGTTTTGTAGCGGTTTTAATGTAGTTTCTGAATATGTAAATTTTATTTTCTAAAACTAATTTGAGTGTTGACAGAGATCAATTTGCTTTATCGTCGGTCAAACATCGTAAACCGTAAAGTATCTTACAATTTGGGACGGAGGGAGTATTATTTATCAAGACATTGGATTTGAAAAATAAAATGTGTCAATTTAGGTGTTGAATGATGAAAGTTAAAAACTAGATAAAAACTACGAAAATTATTATTAAGATCAAAGGATACCTGGTGGCATTTCTCCACAAACCTATGAATCCGGCAATGACTTGAAAACAAGAAGCTACAATGAGGGCTCCTTGAATGGACCTCATCGTGTGCTCAAACCTCTAGGAGTCAAATAAATAAATAAATAAATTAAACAATAAATATAGCCAATTATTGATTGAGAGTGACAAAACCATAATATTTATTTAGAAATTGCTCTAAATAGGAGCAAAAATGTTTTGAAATTCCAAAATAGGAGTATCATATTTTTTATTCCCTGAATAGGAATAATCTGTCATGTTTGAAAAAAAATGTCATGTTTAAAGCCTAGTAATGTCAAACTCGACAGAAATTGACTCTTATTCAAGGAACAAAAACATGATAGTCCTATTTTGGAATTTCAAAACTTTTTTACTAGTATTTAGGGAATTCTCTTTAATATATTTCCCCTTCTCTGAACTAAGTTCACAATTTGAGTCTCACATTATTTGAAATTGACATTTGGCCACTATTAGACATGGTTAATGACTTGGCATTTGAATAACACATACTTAAACAAAATATTTAAGTTTTTCGTGCCTACTATAAATCAATACGGAATATAATTTTGAAAAGTATAATACAGATAAAAAACTAAAAAAATACTCATGTTATAACTATTCATTCATATGAATTTGAAGACAATGCAAATAAAGAGTGGTAGAGAATTTACAATGTGAGGATCCAGAATCTGCTGAAATTTCCTAGATTGGACTATTGAGGCAATAGGAATCAAGTAGGCATACGAACCACCTATAACTGAAGGTAACCTAACTCCAAATAAAGATTGAAACAATGTATTTATCCCTGAAATGAAAAGTAACACCTGAACCACTCTAGCCTCTTCAACCTGCATTTTAAAACTTTTATTTCAAAACCCAACATAAAGATAGTTGCATAAAAAAAGCGAAAAATTCAAAATTATAAACAGGAGTATATTTAGTATACTCCCTCCGTCCCATAAAATAAGTCTCATTTTTCTTTTTGGACCGTCCCAAAAAATTGTTCCCATTTTCCTTTTTGGAAAGTTTTGTGTGGCTAACATTCATTTACCTTTTTCTTACTCAACCACAACCATACATTTCCACTTTATTCCCACTTTCTTAAACTCCGATCCAAGTCAAAGTGGGACTAATTTTCCGGGACGGGAGGAGTATTTAATTTGTTCTTTCTACCTAGAAATTGACTTAGAAGAAGTCTACATGATAACTTTTTCACTATACAACATTGCCTCTATTCATTACTTTAGGATTGAAGTGTAAAGATATGTGAGGTAACTTAAACTCATATTTAGAAAACTTGAAGTCAATATTGCACCGTATAAATCAGCCCAAATAATGATACTCGCAATAATGATGAAATAAAATAGAAAAATTACCAAAATAGGACTAAAAACGTTTGTATATTCCAAAATAGGACTTATTACTGTCTTGTTTTGGCAGTATCAGACTTTAAACATGACAATATTTTCCAAACTTGGCAGTAACTACTCATATTTTGGGAATAAAAACATGACAACCCTATTTTGAAATTTCAAACGTTTTTACTCCTATTTCGTGAACTTTCCCGATAAAATAACAATGATGACGGTGATAATAACAGTTACAGTAACAAAAGTAATACGTAGTAGTAATAACAATACTAATAATAATATGGAGTAATAATAATATATAATAAAATTTAAACAATTATGTCATGAAAACCACATAATGAATATTGTGTTCACATAAACATTTTTTTTAATAAAACAAAGAACATATAGATTAAATATTCTTCACATAAACATCGATCAATTTGTAACTCTTACTCTGCTACCACCCATTTGAGGCACTATTGTTTTAGGGATGAAGACAATATTGCCCAAAGTTAACAGGTAATGCTGGAAACCCAAAAACATTGCCTCCGCTGCATTAAGCAAACAATAAAACTTTTGAGTTCCACCATATATGTATCAAACTTCTTTCTTTTCTCCGTTAAAATTAAAATATCAGCCAAATTTAATACTACCTTCGTCTTAAATTATTTTGCAAAATCGACATTTTTTTGTGAAATAATGTTTAATTCAAATCAATTCAATTATTTATAATTAAAATTTACATATTCAAAAATTGCATTAAAATCTCTTCACAGTTGCAAACTTCAAATTAGAATATAATTAAATATTGACATCTTAATTTATTGAATAAAAATGAAACTATTTGATCAAGAAAAGTCAAACTTTCAAATCAATTTGGGACGAAGGTGGTATATATTAATGGTCGGAAAAGGAAACGTACACCATGACGGTGGACTGTTGACACAAAATTGTACACCGGAGAGCTGCTCCAGTACTGCATGCGGCTGGGGCTTCTCCTCCGCCTTCTTATTCTCCTCCGCCTTTCTTCCACCGCCTTCATTGCCGCCTTCTGATGACATGTTTGAAGCCAATGAAGCTCAATAGCAATTTGGTTCTTGTTTCATACAATAATAATTTGAATATGCTAGCTAGTTTAGTGTTATAGAGTAAATAGTAACCGTTACAAGATTTTTTATACTTAAGGATTTGTGGTTACAGAATCAAAATCATAAGTGCAATCAATATCCAAAAAATACTCCACCTAGTATACATTATATATTTAGAGGATTGGATCATATGATATTTTGGTAACACATGATACGGTTACAAATTTATAAAATGGTTAGGGGACATAGATTCGAGCAGGGGCGGAGCCAGGACACTGTACCGGATTGGGTCGGTTCAAAGAATATTTTTGAAAAAAAATTAAACAGAATTTTTTTCCCTAAAAATTAAGGCATTTTTTAAATTTGGGGTGGGCCAAAGCATTGGCATGCTCCTATCTCCACCCATGGAGGAGAGGACATGGGCGCGGGACATGGGGTGGGGTGAGGGGTAGGGGTTGGGGAGGGACATGGAGTTGGACATGGGTGGGGCTAGGGGATAGGGTGGGGTTAGAGGGTTGGGTTTGGTTGGAGATTGTCCGGTGAGGCTGGCCGGCCGTTGGAGGGCAGTGGTGAGTCACCGATGTTGGTTGCCGGCGGTGGTCACTATCGGGTTGGGTAATTCATACTGATGAGATGAGGATAACTGTAATTGATCGGGTCGGATCAGATAACTGTAACTGGTCATGTTAGGTAAATGTAATTGGCAATTCGGGTAACTAAAACTGATCGAATAACTTTAAGGATGTTTTTACTTAGATCGTTTTTTTGTCTCAAGCCAGACCAAACCAGACTTAAACAAATCAGATCAGACCAGACTCAAACAGACCAGAACAAACTAGACCAGACTAGATTTGACTTCCGTAGTTATAAAATACACAGAGACCAGACATATACCAGTTCAGACCAAACCAGACTTAAACAGATCAAACCAGACCAGACCATATTTAAACAGACCAGACCAGACAAGCAAGTCACTGTCCAAGTAAATCATCCTAACTGGTCAGGTCAGGTAACTTTAAATGATAGTTAGGTAATTGTACTTGGTCAAATCAGATAACTCCAGCCGGACGGGTTACTGGTCATTGTATTGTTGGTCACTATGAGTCTATGAGGCAGCTGGGCTTAATAAAGGTATAATAGTCCGTATACATATTTTTGTCCTTTTTTTTTGGTAATACGGAGTATTTGTGTCTTAATCCCATAAAAGATTGTGTTTGTTTTTTAGGTTTTTTCATATTAGCGACGTTTACTACATTAATAGGAATTTGTTGATTTATTTTATTATTTAATGATGAGTAAAATGCATAAATGATCCTTGAACTATCATCACCATATCGTTTTGGTCCTCGAACTATTAAATCTATCATGTTAGTCCTTAATTTATCTATTTGATCTATATTAATCGAGTCCTTCCGTTAAATTTGTTGTTAACTTTGATGGAAGCTAATTAATTTATTAACATCTCATAATTTTAAACATTTTAAAATAATACAATCATTCTTAAAATTAAGTAGCTAATCTAGTTTTTTTTAAATATACATATATATACACATACACATATAAAAATTATAAATAAATCATATAAAATCAAATGTACGGCCTAAGTAATACGTAGTATATAAGACAGAATCAAATAATCAATTATATACATATGAGCAGATAAAATTAAATAAAAAAACGAGGGTGATTGTTATTATTATTAATTATATTAAGAAAAAATTTAAAACTAGATATGACTAAAATTCATCTACTTTTTCAATACATGACCTCATTAGCCCCCCCCCCCCCCCCCCCCAAAAAAAAAAAAAAAACAATACTCCATATTTAAATTCGTAATATTTAATAAAATAAATAAATAAATAAATTTTATGGACTAATTTGCTCTTACATTTTTTAAACAGAATATATTCTTAGATTGATATTATAAAGCTCTAACTTCCTACTCATTTTCTAAAAACCACATCGTTGCGGCACCTAATGCCCACATCGCCGCGACACACACCTCCCCCATCATCGCGGCCATCCCATGTGCTGGCGCTGTCTTCATAACGTAAAAATGATATAGAACCACACAAGTGAGAGTTAAGAGCTTGTTTTTCTCGCTATAACTTTTCTAGTTTGCTCTACTACTTTCCGGCACCGCCATTTTTCTGCTCACATGTATATAATTGATTATTTGATTTTTCTCTTATATACTACGTATTATTTAGGCCGTACATTTGAATTTATATAATTTATTTATAATTTTTATATGTGTATGTGTACATATATGTATATTTAAAAAAAAACTAGATTAGCTACTTAAGTTTTAAGAATGATTCTATTGTTCCAAAATGTTTAAAATTATAAGATGTTAATAAATTAATCAGCTTCCGTCAAATTTAACGGCAAATTTAATGGAAGGGCTCAATTAATATAGATGAAATAGATTAAGGACTAAAATGATAGATTTAATATTTCGAGAACCAAAACGATATGGTGATGATAGTTCAAGGACCATTTATGCATTTTACTCTATAATGATTATCACTTTATATTTTCTGGTTGAGAGAACTATCAAATAAGTCCTCGAACTTTCACAAAAAGTGCAAATAAGCCCTTTTACGTGAGGCTTTGTCCGGCTGTCGCCATTTGGGACGGTTTCCGGTGGAATTTTTTGATGACATTTTTTGAACATCTTCTTCATTAAGTCTAGTTACGCATACCAAATTTCAGCTAAAAAGTCAATCTAGAGGGCAGTCAAATGATTTTCTGAAATATACTGCGCTGCCTAACAACGCAGTTAACTTCAGAAATTCATTTGACTCCTTTTCCGATTGAATTTTTAGCTGAAATTTAGTATATGTAAACTAGACTTAATGAAGAACATGCTCCAAAAATTTCATCAAAAAATTTCACCGTAAACCGCCCTAAATGGTGACGCCCGGACAGAGTCTCCTCTAAAAGGACTTATTTATACATTTTATGAAAGTTGGAGTAATACTTCTCCCATGAATTGTGTCACACGCAAGAATAAAATAAGGACCAAATCGAAATGGATGATAAGAAGTGGTCAATTTAGAAGGAAAAAACGGGAGACTTTTATCACTAAACGAAAGAAAACAACTTTTCCAAAAATCTAGAAACCAAAGCACCAATCTCCCCGCTTCTTCCGTTATTTCACCCGTCCTTTTCTCATTTCAATTACGCGTTTACTAGCAAAATATAAACTGTATTCGTAGTTTTTTTTGTTTCTCGCTAAAATTTCAAGTGTTTTTAAAATATTGAAATTCGAGAAAATAAAACAGAATAAAATTTTATTTACAGTGCAAAACCAAGACAAGTAAACAAATCCCGCGATTTGATTCCGTGGAGTCTGCTCTTTGCCGACCCACTCCTCATAAACATCCTTTTCCAGTAAAAGGGTCTCTCTGTTTCCACTTTCCAATCGCACAGAAAAAGAAACGGGCGATCTTTCTCTCTCAATATTTTCTAAGTTTTCTTTGCTTTTGCTTATCCTGTAAGACTTTTCAATTCATTGTTTGATAAATGCGGGTTGTGATTCTTTCTTTTTTTGTTAGTCTGTATTTGAACCATTCTACAGAAGCTATTTCTTGCAACTTGTGATGCTATAGGGATTCCTTGTAAGTTTTGGTGATTCAATTTTGATGATTATTATTTTCCCATTTTGAGAAATGGGGAAGTACAGACTGAAGATCTGATATTTGACTTTTTCTACTCTGGTTGAGCTTTGAGGTACTGTTATATAATTAATCACATTGCCTTGTTTTGCAGTTTGCACACAGAGAAAGACCAATAACCCACCCCCACCCCACCCCCCATGGATCCAATTGATTCTTTCTTAGTCTTTGGATTATCAATTTCCCCATTTTAATTTATTCCCACTTTTTGCTTCACTAAGAATCTAGGAATCTCCTCTTGCCATTAGAATGTTCTCTCTACTTTCTTCTTGATCTGCAAAACAAAGATCAAGTCTTTCTTTTGGGCAAGTGTTTGGTTTGGATATACTTGTTGTGTTTGTCAAGTTGTTCTGCAATAATGGGCTGTGCTAGTTCAAAGGAAATGGTCTGCCGGAACTGCCACGCCCCTTGCTCTCCTGTGCGCCGGAGGCACTCAATGGAAGGAGCGGAATCTCACCACCGTGTTTCTCTCACCTCCTCCACAATTGGATCTCTGAAGTTGGACTCACCAAATCATATTCACCCACACAGGATCAACACCCGTTGTAAGCCTATGGGATTGGTCGAAGCAAAATCATGGTCCGAAATGATCAATGAAAAGATTCCGAAAGTGGTTCCGAAGACCCCGACTCACACGCCACCGGGTGAGCCAGAGACCATCAATGCTTGGGAATTGATGGAGGGTCTTGAAGATGTTAGCCCGTTGAAGCCTTCGGGTCGCTTAGTCCGCAGCTTCTCCTTTGATGTTCATTCCAACCCCAATCCCAACCCCACCCCAATCCCATATGATCTCCCCACGCCGAGAATGAAATCTGGGAGTTGTGTATCTGTTAAGCCTACGTCGATGCAAAATGGTCATGGTGAATCAAAGCCCACATCAAATGACACATCCATTGTGTCTGAAATTGATCCCGCCATGGTATCCGCCTTTAAAGAAACACTTGATAACAAGCCTTTCGCGATTACTCACAAGGATCTAGAGACATTGGAGGAAGATGTTGAGGTGGCATCACAGTATACCATGTTGTGTAAGAACAAAGTCGTTATCTACTTCACAAGTCTAAGAGGTGTGAGAAAGACATATGAGGATTGTTGTCATGTTAGGGTGCTTTTGAAGGGACTAGGAGTTAAAATTGATGAAAGGGATTTGTCGATGCATTCTGGATTTAAGGACGAATTGAAAGCGCTTTTAGGGGACGGATACAATGCCACTTGCTTGCCAAGAGTTTTTGTGGGCAAAAAGTGTATAGGGGGTGCGGATGAAATCAGGCGAATGCACGAGGACGGACAGCTTGAGAAGGCAGTGGAGAGCTGTGAAAGGGCGCAGGTTGGTGGTGGTTGTGATGGTGATAATGGTGGTGCTTGCGAAACTTGTGGGGATATTAGGTTTGTTCCTTGTGAGACATGTTCAGGGAGTTGCAAAATATATTGTGAAGCTGATTGTGATGAGGATGAGTATGACCAGGAAGGGGATTATGGTTTCCAGAGATGCCCGGATTGTAACGAGAATGGGCTTACGAGATGTCGATTTTGCTGCGACTAGCTTCTTTTTTGTGTGTACCATGTAAACCTTGTTCATGTCTAACAGCTCATACACACACAAAAGAAGTAAATCACACTAAGAAAAACCTTTGGCAGATTCGACCGAGAGAGTGTTGATATTCGGAGGTGATATTTGGGACAATCCATTACAGATATTACCTAGCAAAGGATTATTACTGTTATAGTACTAAAACAAATATTGTACATAAGTTTTTTGGTAATAGATGGGGCACAAGTTATTTAACTTCATTACAAGATTGTAATGAGCAGGACAAATGACAGTGTCCTCAAAGTGATTTCCTATTATATATCTGTCAATGGTGTTTGGCTAAGCATATTTCATGTGTGCAGATTTGTCTTTTGTGCAATTTCTGATTGATGAAACTGAGTTGCTTGGCATTTGCTTCATTTCTAATTGTGAGGACATTAAATGTGGGTGGAAAGAACAAACAAAACTAGGTTGGGAAGCATCAAAATCTGGGTTGTTGGAAGTTGGGCATCATAAACTTGGTGATTTTGTGAAAGTGGTATTCAATAATAATAAGAAAAAGTCTGTATTTTTCTACTAAGTTAAAAATAATGTCAAATTTTATACCCGTAGTATCAGTTTTATAAGTTCGAAGTATGTTCAAATTAGTTTTAGACTTGTTTTGACATTGTATGTGCTCAAAATTTGTTTCCATAATAGTTCTAAAATTAATTCTGTAATAAATTTTATTTTTTTACAATAAGTATTTTGTTTTGAAGTGAAATACTTATAAACAACTGGCGTTGCAACTTATGTATAATAAATTTGGAAGTAATTTTAAATTTAATTTTTTTTCTCATTTTTCGAAATATCAGACAGCTTTCTAGGCTACAATGATTTAAATTTAACTTGGAACATACTACCTCCGGTCCCAATTAAAGTTCCCAGTTTGACTTCACATAGTTTAAGAAAATAAATTTGACTTTACTGTGGAGTGCACTGTTTGACATTGTTTGACACTGTTTTGCACTGTTTTGTTTCCTATAATGGAAGTGTGAACTTAAATAAGGGACATCCCAAAAAGAAAAGTGAGAACTTTAATAGAGAACGGAGGAAGTATATAACGCCGTTCTTTTTCTAGAATAAAATATACGAAGTATATATCTAAACTAAAATGACTAAGGGGGTGTTTGGAACTGATTCTAATTCTGCTTCTTTTTTAAAGTAGAATCAGAATCAGAATCAGTTTTCAGAAGCTAGTACCCCCAGCTTCTAAAAAAACTGATTCTGAGAGTAAATTAGAGCACCGGAAGTGCTTCTGGAATTTCACCCAAACACTCCAGCTTCTGCTTCCTGAAGAAGCAGAATCAGTTTTGAGAATCAGATCCAAACACCCCCTAAATAATAATATCCTAAACAGTAATGCGTATTAGTTTATACTACCGTCTGAGAAGTATAGAGTTCTTTTCAAACCATTAGTATTTGAAGTTAATTACCATCGAAACTCATAGGGATTTTACATCTATTTATTAAATCAAAATGTTGGTTTATTATATTATTATATGTGCGATTTCCCATAAAAAATAAAGATATTTTTTCATATGATAATCGTATTTAAAAATTGATTCAGGGTGTTTGTTAAAGTGTTATTGATTATATTTTGGCTTTTTATTTTTTTCGTATTTGGTAAAATATCTATCAATAGTGTCTTGATAATTGATTTTTAGATTATATTGCATGCATTGATCTCAATAAGCCAAAATCAATGAGTAATTTTGGATAGCTATTTCGTAACAACCAGCAAAAACACTATTAAAAGAGGAAAATATATAATCTTTTTCTATGTTTGCATAGTTAGTATTTACAAAGAATAAAATTAACATAGAAAGCTTTAAGCTTTAAGCTTAAGTATAAACCCCTTAAGGGTATGTTTGGGAGTTCGGAGGGAAGGGGAGGGGAAGGCTTTGGAGGTATGTTGTTGGAGGGGAAAGGGAGGGGAGGGTGAGGAAACCCTTCTTTGTATTTGGGAGTAATAAATTTGGAAGAAGAGAGTTTTGAATGAATTATAATTAAAATTACTTTGAAATATGACGAATTTAAATAATTGAACTGATATTTATTTTTAATTGAGCTTAAATTACCATTTCATTAATTATCCCTCAAAACCCTCCAAATTGGGAGAACTTAAAAATTAGGCATTTAGAGGGTTTTGGAGGATCATGAAAGCCCTCCAAAACCATCCCCTCCAGTTTTATAAACTCCCAAACATGAAAAGGAGGGTTATAAACCCCCATCAACCTCCCCCTCCCCTCCAAAACCCAACTCCCAAACACACCCTAATTATATTGCAAATGCCGTCTTCCTTTTCTAACTTCGAGATTTCAACGGAAGTGCCGTTGTCTTATACTCCCTCCTTCCCTGAAATATCTTCAAACTTTCTTTTTTCGTCCGTCCCAAAATTATCTCCTCCTTCCCTTTTTGGCAAAGAATTTGTGGTTCACAATCATTCTTACACATTCTTACACATTTCTCTCTCCTCTGCACAACTCTCCACCACACAAAACTCACTATCTTAATTAGTGTGCCCGGCCGAAATGGGAGAAAAAACAGGGACGGAGGGAGTATCAACTTCCTAACCGTGTGAAGTGCCAGCCCATTTGGGTATTAGTTTCCAACTTCTAACCATTAACCTTTTGACTTTCTCCACCTCTTTTTCGTTCTTGTTTTCGGTTTCCAGCTTTAACTTAGACATTCCCTTTATCTCATTATTTTACTCCAACATAATCATTTATTTTTCTCACATAACAACGAAGATGTCACGTATCATATTTGAAAATATGTGTATGATTTTTTTTATTTTATTATTACTTTACAAGTTTGATACGGAGTATTAATACTAATTACATAATTCCATTAATTATAATATTTATATGATTTGTTATATCTCAAACTCTTGAGAGAAATTAAGGGAGTAGTAAAAGCTAGCACTTTCGATATCTTTTTAGTTAAATACTCCACTGTATATCAACATTATCACGTAAATTAAAGCTTGGGTAAGTCAGCTAAATCATTCTCCTTGATGATGTCGATACACTACAAAAAAATCATAGGATTGACATGGATTTGGCACGGAATTAGTGATGATTTCATGCCAAATAACTCATGTCGAAGTGTTTTTGGCCCGGATTTGGCATTTCCCTGCCAAATTCTTCATGAATTTTTTTTCAAATCTCTTGTCAAAATCTCTGCCAATTTCGTGTTTTTTTTTGTAGTGCTAGCTTGACCCATTTGATTTTCTTGAGATCACAAGGAATTGATGAAGCTAAGGTTACAACTGATTAATTACAACTGTCAACAGGTAGCAGGTCGTACGTACTACCAAGGTCTAAGGATCATGATTATGTTGGATTGTTCTAAATTTGAGGGAGTATAAACATTTTTTCAAGTCTGACTTCTATTCTGAGATATCTCATCTTACCTTCTATTCTTCTTAGAAGTCTCATCATATTACCACTAATCGAAATTACTTCACCCTTCTCTCAAATACTCCGTAGGATTTATGAGTTGTTGTGATCATCTTGTTCTTATGATTTATTGTTTATTCTTATTTTATTCAGATTAGATCAGAAATTAAAGATTCAAACTAGATCAGATCAGATGAGACTAAAAAGATTCAGATTAGGTAAAAAACATTCATATCATAGCAGAAAATAATAGACATGATGTATTACTTTTATTAGTATTATCAATATTATTATTATTATTAATTTTTTATTGCTATCATTTATCAATCTCGTTATTATTATAATTGCTATTATTATTATTTTTGTTATTTTTGATTATTATTGTTGTTATTTATTATTATGGATGTTGTTTTTTGTATGTTATTCTGAAAACACAAAAGTTTAAGTTCTTGCTATTAATATTTAAAGAAATAATAACATCATTACACTATATTATTAATTATTATTATTCTACTCGAAATAATATCCATCGTCAAATTCAATGTGTCTATTCCAAAATTTGCGGCCTTGATGTGATTATTGTTATGGGTCTAGCCCATAGTTCTAATATTTGTATTGCTTTTGTTGTTTATATTTTGAGCTTTTATGATGCATTGTTATGTCTTATTTCTTGGGTCCATTTGGTATTGAGCTTTGGCTTCTAAGAATTTTTTTTTGAGGTTTTTTTGTTGTCAAACATTGTGTGTGGATGGGAATTCGAATAATATCCACTCACACATATTTTCCTCATGTTCTCAGATTTTGTTCAAATCTGAAGTGCTTGATCGTGACTTCAAGAGCTTCATTTTGAACAATCCGATTGTTCTTTTGAAATCTAGTTTAGTCAGAAACTTTGCTCGAATAGACATGCAGTTTTGGATGATTTCTACACCTCTTATTGTTCTGATGATTGCTAGTGGATTGTGAATCCTTTGTAAACTGATTTGGGGTTCGTTAACCCTCAACTTATCAAAGACAAGTAAGGTTGGACTCCTCAAACGACCCTGTGGTTTTTATCCTTCACATTGAAGGGATTTCCACTTATAAATCCTATGTGATCCTTGTGATTTATTTGTGCTCTTTATTACTATTTATATTCGGCAATATTGTTGATCTTGTGTGGCAATTTGGTTATGTGGTGATTTACCATGATTGGATTGTTTATGTGGTTGATTATATTAAGTGAATGACATTGTTGGTGTCATAGAGACCCCTTATTTGATCCCTACAACTTGGTATCATAGCTAAATTTTAATTTGTCACATTATGGAGTCGATTAGTACCAACTCGATGGTAAAAAAGACATAAACTAATTATTTATATGGAGACCAATGATGGAAGACTTTGTATATTGCTTGTCTTTGTATGACGGGATTGAAAATGTCACTAATTCTTATGGTAGTGTTTTTCAACCATCCAAATAAAAAAAAAGAAAGAGAAATAATGGGTAAAGTGGAAAAGAAAGTCATTAGGTACGAAAGAGAAATAATGAGTTGAAATCAGCATTTTCAACCACGTGTCACAAGAGTCTGACCCGTATGATTTGTGGAACAAATTGAAAGTTTTTAGGAACGAAAGAGTGTTCATAACAAAGCTTCTTTAATTAAGAAACTTGTGATTTCAAAATTGAAAAGTGTGAAGTCGGTTTATGAGCATCTTAGAGACTTCCAGGATATTATTAACAAGATGACTAGCATGAAAACTTGTCTTGATGATGGGTTGAATGCTTTAATTCTATTGAGTTCTTTATTAGACAGTTAGGATACCTCAGTTGTGACCATTGTTCTAAAAATCGCTCTTGGCATCTGACTAGCCCCTGCCTATGTAATACCCCGGCCCCGCAGGATCCAAGGTAGTTACTTCT